GACCAATGGAACGCTCGCCACCTCCTCGTGGCGAAGCTGACAGCTAGCGACCAGCTTCTTCGGTACTTCAAGTTGTCCAGCCATGCTGCGGACCCTGTTGATGACATAGGTAGGCCTCGATGCCCAAGTGGGCATCATATCACCTACCCTCTCATTTATGCTAGTCATATGCATATAATGTGATTACTAATATTTGTATCTTTTATTTGTCTCGCAGAGGAGCTCATGGAGACCGTCGCCAGCCCCGATGTCCCCAAGACCACCATTGACACCGACGAAGTCTCACTGACCACCCCCGCCGCCGACGAGGTCCTGGTGACGACTGACCCACCGGCAAAGCAGGTGACTTCACAGCAGCGCTACCGTCAACCACCGACCCGGAACTTCTCGAAGAAACGCAAGATCACCTCCCAAGGTGACGAGCCGCGCACCATTACTGTACCGGAGAAATTCGCGGGCAACAAAGACACAGAGGCGTCAGTCTCCTACTTCCTCTCCATCTTCCCCGATCGTGAGACAATCAAGTGGCCAACTAAGGAGCACCGAGCCAGTGACACCATGTTCCATCTCAGTCAGGTATACCCCCACATCTCATCTTTATACTTGTCGCACTTAAATCTCATGAAGTTAATACCCAACCACTTCTATCTCTTTCAACAGGCCATGGCCGGTCTAGCCCCCATCCTCAACGAGGCTATGGAAGGTGACTCCGAGGAAATGGAGAAACTGAAAGGCAAGGTGGCTAGGAGGGATGCACAGGTTGCTACCCTCAAGCAGGATCTTGCTAAGGAGAAGGCCGAGAAGGAAAAGCTCCAGGGCGAGCTAGAGGCTCTTCGACAATCCTTTGACGAGCGCATTGTCCAGGCCCAGCAGGAGGCCCAAGATACATACCTCGACTCGAAGTTCAGGACCCGCTTCCTCAAGTGCTACCGAGACGAGCTATTGACACGCTACCACGACTCCAAGGTGTTTCTCCAGCGGGTTGTCAAGGACTGCCTTCAGTATTTCCGAGCAGGGGTCGAGCGGACCCAAGCCGAGGCACATGCCCAGGGCTTCAAAGCCTTCTCCGCGGATGCAGGCAAGCTAAGGAAAGACCTTCCTAACCCCGCAGGGTGGAATGGCGACCCATCTCTTCCGTTGACCCATCCTTGGTGGGAGCCGGCCCTAGGGGCTGCCATCGTTGCTGCTGGAGCCGAGATGGAGGTTGTTCCCTAGTAGAAGGGCACGGGGTCACCTCCATCGACTTGCGTACGGTTTCCTTTTGTCATGTAGTCATGAACCCATCTACTCTTTTGTGAACTTTTATATTTGGTCATGTAACCGTGAACTTATTTAGTCCATTTTGTGAACTTTTCTATTTGGGCATGTAACCGTGAACTTAATTAGTCTTTCGATGCTACTTACCGTTAGCTAGCACCATGGATGAACGCAACGCCTTTATTTTGTTACTTACCAATTTCAGTTGCTTGTACTTGCATAACGTATTACTTATACAAATAACCACAATTCTCCGCTCAGGACGAGCTTCATTCACCAAGCCTTGTCAACACTTAGCGTCGTGACAATGGGCTTTTGCGCCTAGCACAACTATTGCTAAGTCTCCCAAGACCCGCATTCCCAACTTTAAGACGCGACCTTGTTGTGTCACAAACACTTGAACCGCTGGACCGCTCCTCTCCGAATCGGGTTACGTCTCATTGATCGCCGGTACCTGCAAAACACGCCGGGGGTGGTCCCGGCGCGAACACTCCGACGCTCAAGTCAGTGGTGGTCCGAAGGAAAAACGGCAGAACAACGAGAGAATTTTTATGTGTGCGTTGTGTAAATGAGATAACCTGCGCCCCTTTTATAGATGAAGTCATCTAGAGGTTGAAGAGTTCTTATCATACCATGAGTCTTCTCCTCAGATTAGGTCAAAATTCTAAGAGTCCTTGAGGTTGCGAACCTCTTCATGACTTGAGCACGATACACCCTCCGGGCTCCGGTCCCCTCAATGGGACGTCCAGCTACCTAAGTGCCAAGGCGTCCTGCCTAGCTCACGTTGAGCTAGCTCCGCCGACCACCCCTGTACTCCAAAGGTACCATAGGCTGCGCCTACCAAAGCCTCCGCCTACCGGAACCTTCGCCTACCAGAGCATCCGCCTACCACCTATATACCCTAAGCCCTTGTTTGCTTTTGGGGATGGGATTGGACTAATTTAGTCCAATTGGAAAGGATTATACTGTTGGAATTGAATTAATCATATGTTTGTTATACAGGATAAGGGGTATGATAAGTTTAGATTAAAAATTAAATAAAAAATGTGTAGGTGGTGTAAAGTACTTTTATACCCTTTCAACTAAACCAAAAATTATTAAAATGAGGGTAAATTTGACTTTAGCTTCTTGGGATTGAATTAATCCCATGTAAATGGAGGGATTCAATTATCCTGATTTCATGGGATAACTCACTTTTTTATCCCGGGCCGACCCAATCCAGCGGGCCTTAATACAACGAACCAAACGCAGGATTAGGCTAGGATTAGACAGGATATCCTGCCTAATCCTACAAAACAAACAGGGCCTAAAGGTACCATGGACTGCGCTTACCAGATTGAAACTACCCAGCTGAGTGTAACTAGAACTCGGGTCACAACCGGTCCTTCATGAGCCGCTACTAACGACCACATCATACATGTATAGAAAGAAAATTAAAAAACTGCAAAAAATATAATGCAAAACTTTTCTTGTTACTCTTTTGAGTAAATAATTTCTCTCTTTATATATGTATAGATGTATGACTAAGGGAAGATAAAGTAAGAGAAGATAGATAGAGAATTATTCCGTGATTATTATTTATTGATAATGCTTGAATATTATAAATTTTCATTATCCTTAATTTTAACAGAAATTCTAAAATAGCAACTATTTTTATAACGGGGAAATAAATATATAAATCTTATGTGATATTATTACATTACAATGAAATAAAAGGAAAAAATTATCACTATTTAAAATTATATTTATACTAATCATTATGCTTTCTTTGGTTTAATACATGCAATTTATAACTTTTTAGCCTCGCACGTGCCTAATACTATGATATTTAAAGTATACTATAAAGTATTATATTAAAATAAAAAAAAATAAAAAATATGAAAAATATTATTTAAAGTTTTATATGATATTTTGCCTGAAAGCAGCAGACAAAGCAACCTTCGTGTTCGTTGTCGATGGCATGGCACCCAATTTGCCCAATTTGAAGGGAAATGAATGAATGAATAAATAAATAAATATTTATTAATCTTGCGACGCAAACTAGGAGAAAGCCGGGAAGCGCCACCGGAAAAACCCAGAAATTCACGATATAATCGGCGAATCCAACGAACGATTTGTCCGCAAAGACTGGCGGCGAACGCCTAAATCCGGCGCCGGCTGACGACATTTTTGGGATCGATGGATCATGGCGAAGAACCGCCCGAGGGGACCGTGCAGAACATCTTGGATCAGGAGACGCTCAAGTGGGTGTTCGTCGGCGGCAAGGGCGGCGTCGGCAAGACGACGTGCAGCTCGATCCTGGCCATCATGCTCGCGAGCGTGCGACCTTCCGTGCTCATCATATCCACCGACCCTGCCCACAACCTCAGCGATGCCTTCCAGCAGAGGTTCACGAAGAGTCCTACTCTTGTCACCGGGTTTTCGAATTTGTACGCCATGGTGAGGAAATTGGGAAAATTATTTATTTCTTTGTTTGTCTTCGCTGTCAATTGAGATGTGTTGGATTGTGATGGTTTGGTTTGAGGATACGAATATGAGTATAGGTGTTTTTAATGTTTTCAATGTGAAGGGCTGTGTAATTTGTGTCCTTAATCCTGGATTAATCTCTTATGGAATGAGTTTCTATGGCGCGTACTCTGGAGTTCAGTACCTTTCTCGTTCTTAATACTCTTATGATTGGCTTTAACATTGAATTTATGGTTCACCATAGCGAGTGTGTGTGATCGTAGGCTTGAACCCCTTATGAGGGCAGTTGAATCTACCGGCTTTAAGTATAACTGTCATCTCTGTGTTATATTGTGAGTTACCGTCTATTCTGTCAGTCGAGTTCCATTTCACTACTCCTATGGTGTTATTGTCTTTTCCTGCGATCCTGACTGTCAAGATTTCTTGAGTTATACTTATAGCCAGCTGAATGTAATCTTTTAGCTTTTGAAAGGATTGGTATTCATTGATTAGAAAAAGGCTGAAAGCAATGAGAACTATGTTGTGCTGCTTTACCTTTTGTTTAATGTGGTTGTCCATGTTTGTCGGTGAATGGGTTCTAGAGAGTTGAGGTTTAGATGCGGCACTTCTCTTAGTTTGAGAAAATTAAAATTTGTCTATGTTGCTGATTTGGGTACTAATAGCTCAGTATATGTGAAATTGCCTTGTTTTAAATGTGTATTAAAAGACTCCATCATGTAGGAAGTTGACCCTAATGTGGAAAATGACGAGAGTGGTGGTTCGGATACTGATGGGTTTATGTCGGATTTAACGAATTCTATCCCAGGAATTGATGAGGCTATGAGTTTTGCAGAAATGCTCAAGTAAGTTTCATGTCTCTCAGTTCTTTAAAACATTCAAGCATATGTTATGAGAATGAATATCCTCTAATTTTGATTTTAATTGAGCAAAACTTATGCTATGGCTGTTCATCCGCTTTGTATGTTTTATCGAGTAGGCATATTCCTTACTTTGGCGATGTTACTTACTTATGAAATATATTCATCCAGAAGATAACTTTTTGAGAAAGTGGGGATAATTTCACTTTTAGTCACCTCCAGCACTGCAATTTTCTAGACTACTATTCTTATAATCATATCAATATCTAACATTTAGGTTTGCCACTGTAATGGAATAAAAAACACAAATTCGTTTCAGTTTTACATAGACCTTCTTAAGGTATTCCAAACCTTAGGTTTGCACTTTCTTAACGAGTATCTCCTAGTTGGGAGTGCAAATTTGTAATTCAGTTAGAGAGTTCTCTCTCTCTCTCTCTCTCTCTCTCTCTCTCTCTCTCTCCTTAAGTTAAACATCAAAGGTAATTAATTATGTACTTGATCCCAAGTAGATCATTGATTCTCAAATTTCAGTGACTTTGAATCTGTTTCAGGCTAGTGCAGACTATGGATTATTCTGTTATAGTGTTTGATACCGCTCCAACTGGTCACACACTTCGCCTATTACAATTTCCTTCGACATTAGAAAAAGGGCTTGCTAAGATGATGACCTTGAAGAACAAGTTTGGCGGCTTGTTTAGTCAGGTAGTATAAACAACCTGATTTGTTGTTAATCCAATCTTTCTCTTTTTAACTATAAAATATAATATGAAATCTCGAGATTTACATGTCAGATGACTCGCCTTTTTGGGGTTGGTGATGATTTTGGTGAAGATGACATCCTGGGAAGGCTTGAAGGCATGAAAGACGTGATTGAACAAGTGAACAATCAGTTTAAGGATCCTGTAAGACCTTATTGGGGTTTCTTGCAGAAAACTCATTTCTTGTTCTTTTACTAATTGGGTTAGGTACAAAAATTCTGCTTCGGGTTCCTTCGAATTTCAAAAAGTTTTCCAGCTATTTTCCGAACTTACCTCAACCTCTTTATGTTTTTTCCTGTTTAACAAATAACATTCTTAAGAGGGTGACAAAAATTATACGATATTGGCAGTTTTGAAGCTGAACAGTGTGTTTTTAACTTTTTTTTTTTTTTTTTTTNNNTTTTTTTTTTTTTTTTTCTAACTAGGCCAAACCTTGGGGATAGTTTTCGTACTTATCCCAATAAGTATTTCTGAGATGTGTTGTTTGGACATTGGAAAAAAGGTTTAATTTTCAAAGTGTGAGTTCATTTTTCATTATCATGGGTATGTTTTAAATCTTTGCTTTATATCCTGGAGCTTTGGCACTTCAAATTTGTACTTATTAACTTGTACAAGTCTCTCCCATCGACATCACACAATTAAGTACAGTTTGTTTTACCAAATACTTGATTCTTTTAATTCTTTTTTCTTTATTTTTGTGGGTAAAGTTTGAAACTCAATTGGGTCTTTTTATTACTGTTCTTATACCAATATAAAACTCTCTCTCTCTCTCTCTCTCTCTCTCTCTCTCTCTCTCTCTCTCTCTCTCAAGTTCACATATGGTAGAAAATCTCCTGATGCATTTTATGACCTTTTCCGGCAGGATATGACGACTTTCGTCTGTGTTTGCATTCCTGAGTTCCTGTCCTTGTATGAAACTGAACGGCTTGTTCAGGAGCTCACTAGATTTGAGATTGATACACATAATATCATAATTAATCAAGTAATTTTCGATGAAGAAGGTAAATCTTACTCTCTCTAATACTCTCTCCCTCTCTGTGGTTAGGGAATTTGCTGAGGAAGGTTATTTTATTTTCTTTTTCAGTTGTTGAGTCGAAGTTACTCAAAGCTCGAATGCAAATGCAACAAAAGTACCTGGACCAGTTTTACGTACTATACGATGATTTTCACATTTCTAAGTTGCCATTGCTCCCCCAGGAGGTATGCATATCTTGTTACACCACACCTTGAAGAATAGTCCTTGAAATTGCCTTAATTCTTATAGGTTGATTTTCACGTATTTATGCATATGCAAGTTAGTACCCGACTTAACATGGTGAAACTAAAGTCTCGTTTTAAAGTGTATCAATATCTCATAAAATTACTTAAAATACCAATTTCTGAGTGGGGAAACTTGTAGAACAAACCCGTTTCATGATAAAATACGGTCGTTATCTAGAATTCGCTATATAAATTATGCAAACTTCATTGGTTCCTCCCACTTTATAGAATGTACATCTGTGTGTGTGATCAAGAATATTGATTCTTGTTCCCGATTTAAAAAAAGAAAAAACGAATATTGATCTTTGTTTGATCCCATAATCTCATTGGCAAAAAAATGAGCAGGTTTGTGGGATAGAGGCATTGAAAGCATTTTCGCACAACTTTTTATCTCCCTATCAACCATCCATTGATCGAGGGACGGTAGAAGAATTGGAGCAGAGAGTATCAACGCTAAGAGAGCAACTGACAGAGGCTGAGTCAGAACTCGAAAGATTGAAAAAAGGGAAACAGAAGGTGTGATTTGACCCAGAAAAATAGATAGAGATGTTAACCGCGCTGGCTCATGACGCAAATCCCCTGCCTGCCTCCTTCTCGAAGAGTCGTAGCTAAAGTAGCCGATTTTTGTTCCTTATTCAACTTTCTACAGAGGGCATCATAATGTTTGGCTAATTTAAATTTTACTTGGAACAAAAAAAATAGTCAGATTCTTGATTTTTTACCCTCTTGTTAGAGGGAAATAAATGAGAGACTTTGTTCTCTGAAATGATTATATAATATTGGACAGCACATTCAGTTCATCAAAAATAGATTTGATTCATAGTCAAGGTGCTGAAAAATGGCAACAGTTATATTTGCTCACTCCAATCTATTGGGCTGGAACATGCTTCAAAAATGTGCAAGCCCATGAACAGTTTTACCATGATTTTGTTAAACATTTTTTTTTTTTATTTTTTTATTTTTTTTAACCATTTAAAAAAAATCATTTTTACATTAAGAATATATTTTTGTTGTAAAGTTCCGAGTTTTTT